AGGCCTATCAAGCTGATGTGCAGACGTTGAGGTCTCAGTTTTTTGCTGAAGACGGCAGACTTAACCTGGCCTCGGCGACGTGGGAGGTATCTTACAATCACCTCATGGCCGCCACTTCCTGAGCCAAGTGAGAAGAGGAGATGCTCCCTAAGCAAGAGCTCCTGTAACATAGAGGAGTTTCTCCCTCGTTAGGCGTAGAGCTGGTGGAGTTACTCCCCAGGGGTTTTTGAACTAAAGAAGTCACAGGTGGAGCTTCTCCCCTAGTTGGTGGAGCTTCTCCCCCAACGAGGGGTGTACAGCTGGCGGAGTCTCTCCCTAGGGGTTTTTAAAAGCTTTGAGTCGCTGCCTGCAATAATTCTGCCTGCACTGAGCACACTGAGCCAACAGCAATCCACCATCCGTGATGCAGGTCTCCTCGTGGTGGTCTGGAGCTCAGTGGCCTAGGCCCAGCTGCCTGCTTAGAAGCCAGCTTGAGCCAACAACCGCAGCTTTCTCTCAAGACTCAGCATCATGTCCAGACCTGAGTCAACACAGGATCCCTCGTTTCAAGCGGAGTACGAGGAATTCTGCCAGCGACGGATACGTGAACAACTTCCGCATGTCACGTATCGCAATTTCCTGCGCCAGTGGAGGCGCTCCGCTCGTGCTCACGGCGAAAGCTATCCTGCATATAAAGGAGTCTCTAAAGGTACTGGTGGACAGGAAGAGCTGGGAAGCGGAAAGGGTGGAGTCACTCCCCCTCCTCCTCCTTCCAAGAAAAGAAGTACAGGGCAAAGCGAGGGTGGAGATACTCCCCCAGCAGCAAAGGCCAAGAGTGGAGATCCTCCCTCGGGGGACCCCATCACGGAAGCTGCGATCAAAGTTCTTCAGTCAGCTGGTTATACCCCCTTTCCCAGTCTGATTTCAGACTGTGATGGGAACATCACTGACCTGAACAATCACCGAATTATGGTGACAGTAACTCAGCAGCTGCGAGATGGCCTCAATCAGGTGGAACGACCCTCCCCGGAGGTAGCCAATGCTCTCCTGGAGACCTTCCTGGCCTCTCGCCGGGGACTTGCCAATGAGCCTCTGCATCCGAAGCTTGGATATCCCACAGCTGAGGAGAATGGGTGGTTTCGTTTTGAGTATTCTTCACCGAACATTCTTCCTGCAGGGGACAGCGAGGTTGCGTTCCACGGCACACACCTGGAATGTTTGCATGGGATACTGGCCACAGGCAGGCTACTACCTTCGACACCTGACCTCTCCGGCACGCGAAGCTTCGAGGCACGACCAGGCGTGTATCTTCACAGGATGTCAAACAGGCATCTTGCTGCCGGTTACAGTTGTCTGGTGAGGATAGGACCTCGGCACATATTCGTGCGGCCCATGTTTGAGGTGGAGGCTGCGCACTCTGGATCGCAAAAACGTGGTAAGAAAACAAACCAACTGATATACTCCTATGATGCAGTCAAAATCCGAGCGCTGCTACTGCAAATATCAACCAAGGAGACACTCACCTTAGGTGAGTACCTCCGAGAGTGGAGTGGCTTGTTGGAGATACCACTGAGACAAGCACGGGAATCCTTTTTGGCGTTGGGATACGAGCTGCCTGGCGAAGCCTCGTCAAGTGGAGTCAAGGAAGGAGGAGTTGCTCCCCTTCCGGTTTGTGAGCAGGCGTCCAGCTCACAGGGTGGAGTTTCTCCCCCGACCATGGCGTCAGAGATTGACCACAGCTCAACAACGCCACGTAGCTCCACTATAGTGGCCTGGGAGGGCCAACCAGGCGATCTAGGGGACTATTGCACTGCCTCTACGAAGCCGGAGACCAGCTTCTCGTTCGAAGTCTCGAAGGCTCTAGCAGCTTCGCTCCGGCACGGACATAAACCCTACATCAGCGTCACTTCAGCTGGTTGGGCCAAATTAGAGGACGTCCTGAGATGGCCAAGAGTGCAGGCCCAGCACGCCACGGCAGGCGACCTCATGGAGGTCGTTCGGAGTAACGCAAAAGGCAGGTACGAGCTGGGCGATTGCCAAGGCCAGAAGTACATCAGGGCTCTGCAAGGACATTCTCGCTCTGATGTGGACTCCAATGAGGTGTTGGAGGAACTCACGGAGGAGATGCTCCCCAGAATGCTGTATCATGGCACATTCTGGTCCTTGTATGACTCCATACGCCAACGAGGCCTTCTGCCTCAGAACAAGATTTCCAAGGGCCGCGGCAAAGGCGGACGTGGCAGAGAGGGACGACAGCATGTTCACTTCGTCTCGGATCGGGACTATGGGAGACCTGGTGTTTCTGGATTCAGAGATAGCTCGTCGATGCTGGTGGCGGTCGATCCACGCAGAGCCATGCAGGTAGGGGTGCAATTTTTCCGTAGCAAGAACGGCGTCATTCTCACCCCTTCTGAAGTGCCCCCTTCTGTCATAGAGTACTACCAGAGCCTGAAATCAGGTACTAAGTACGGAGGCGACAACAGGCCGCTCTGATCGTGAGGACCCTCACCTAATGGTGGAGTCCCTCCCCACACTGATAATGCAGCTGCTCACGCAAAAATCTGTGTTATGAGGCTGAAGGTCACTTCAATTTCATCACCAGACAGCAAGTATACCCCGAGGTCGCATGTGAAGCTCCGTGCGAAGTCGTGGGCCCGGATCTGCAAGTGAGTTGTCAGCCAAAAGTTTTCTGGAAGCTCTACTTGCCTTCTCGTACAGGCTCAACTCACCAGCTGTCTCGACTGTAGAAGCCATGCCTGAAACACCGAAGAAGAGTGGCAACAGAGCGACCTCCCGAACCCCTCCTCCAGTGCGACGTCGGCCCCACCTATCCAGGTCGCCGCCAGCCAGTGACTCCATTCGGGAGTCCGACTCCGAAGACACAGCAGCCCCTAAAGCAGCCCCCAAAGCAGCTGGGCCTAAGGGCCCGCCGCCTCCGATGCCTGTTAACCTGTCAGGAAGTGGATCTAGCACAGATCGGACACCGGGACCAGGTAAGGCACCTGGAGTGCCAGTGAAAGGTGGAGTCCCGGGAGGAGTTTCTCCCCTGGGACCACCGCCAAAGGCTGTGACCTCAACGATCTCCCATCCAGGGACAGGAGAGCTTCACGTCACCAGCACAAGTCCGGCAGGAGTTGCTCCGCCATCTACAAATAGCAACAACGGGCTGGAAATGGCGCCTGGTCTGCCTTTACTGAGTGTTTCATTGCCTCACCGCCTCTACTATAACATAGAGCTAGTGGTTCGTACCGAGCCTTCACAGCGAGGCTAGACACTCTCGCGAGACAGCAGTGTGCAAAATGGACGTCGCCAATCAGTCAGCGATACATTGCAAATCAGCCGGTTAACTCCCTCATTAGTGCCAGAGTCTGCAGCTCGAGTCACTGACGACACGTCCGATTCCGACTTCATTGCTTGCAGCCTTGAGGGGCGGAGCGTGTGCGAGTGCTGTGTTAAGGCACGGCTCGTCATGAAGTGACCGCGCAAGTAGCAAGCAGAGCAGCAGGTCGATCCCTCGCAAAGCGTGGACGTTAAGTTTCACCTCAGACAGTATCCTCCCGCTGCGTGTGAATGAAATGCTGTGGCGGTGGCGGTGGCGGTGGCGGTGGCGGTGGCGGTGGCGGTGGCGGTGGCGGGGGCGGGGGCGGGGGCGGGGGCGGGGGCGGGGCGGGGGCGGGGGCGGCGGGGGCGGGGGCGGCGGGGTTTATTTGGGCAGCCTCAATAATTACCAATTCCTGTTGGGGTTCCTTATTACAACCATGGTATAATATTCACCAAACCCCTATTCTAATCATTACGGTCATTAAGTGCCCTGTGTTATCTCCCCGCAAGCGCATTAAGCCCTAATGTAAGTAGCAAGTAGCCACCGTTGTCGTGGTGGTGGTGGCAACGGCAGTCGCTCTTGCTGACCTGTCACCAGGTCAGAATGTGATGTACAATGCATGTACACTGTGACCTTTTATCACACCCCCGGCCCCCCCGCAGAACAACCCCCCCCGGCCCCGCGGCCCCCCAAAACAACCCCCCCCCCTGCCAGAGCAACACACGGGGCACCAGGCTTTGTTGCTTCTACTCATGTACAGACAAAGACCGTGGGGAACAACAGCAGAATAACACTGGAACAACAGGCCCCCCCCTCAGAACAACATACGGGGCACCAGGTTTTGTCTCCAGTCCTACATACGGGGCACCAGGTTTTGTCTCCAGTCTGGTAGAGGAGACAAAAGCAAAAAGTTGTTGTTGGAATGGGGCTCCTGTTTTTGTTCGTTCGTTGTTGTTGTTGTTGGTGGTTCGGACAACAGCCGAAATTCTCAAGAAAATAAGTTCCGAAGTGTAGCTGGGTGGATTCAGAACACCGATTCGGAAAACGGAAGGACGTTCAGGGTTTTCGTTCAAAGGATCAGTGGTAATTTGTGTTTCACTTGTGTGGCTTACTGTAGGATTCTGGCTGAATTTTTGGAGTTCGTTTCCATGATTTTCGGAATTTATTTAGAACTGTGGTGCTCTTTTGTGCTCCTGGTTTTCGAACTGGTTGGTCTAATGCGTGGTAGATACACTTGATTTGCCTCGTGTAGATTGTATGCTCAATGCTAGTTGTGTCATGGAATGTAGTCTAGCCTGGGTTCCATTCATTGCGTGCAGGTGCGCGAACTGGACAGGAAGGTGGTCGTCACATGGGACGATGTTACGTTCTTAGTGCGACAATGTCTTTCTGCAATGGATGGGGACTGTTGAAGATTTCCAAGTTCAGAGCTTTGATGCTTGTTGATGACGAGCTCAGTTGAGGAGTTGAGTCAGTTGAGTTTTCTAGACGAAGGGTCTGCGATGTCTGCAGCGTTCTCTCACATGCGACCTGGCAGCTGTCAAGTTAGCGTTTTGATTGGTCGCCTTCGTCGTTATCGTGGTATTCTCTTAAAGAAATCTCTGCCGAGGCGGACACGTCACACCGCACGGTCAGCTTCGACCAGGTTCAGGGAACAAGCGGCCGCATGATGTAAAGGCCGTTGACGTTGTGCCAGGTTATGCGTCCTTCCGACGAAACCACTGCCTGGAGCAAAGCAAGGCGCAGTGAAGCACAGCGAAAGCGAAAGGCATCGACTCTCCGGCCCTGTCGGTGCGCAGGATTGAGCGGCGGGCCACCGTCCGAGAAACGAAGCAAAAGGGACGGTGCCTTTTTACCAACGAGGCTGGTGCATGTCAATGCCTGCAGCGAGGCATCATGACGTCCATGTGCATGTCCCCTCATCTTTCCAAGCGAGGAAGTTGGGATTCTCACCCAAAGCTGCCAAAGGCTTGAGATTTTGAGGATTAGCGCAGATCCTTTCCGGGATTGTCTGCTGGAGCCCTTGGTCTCATCCTCGGGCCCCAACTCCGCCTCACATAGCCTGCGCCTGCCTCCGCTAGCTCACCAGGGCAGCTCCGCTGAAGCCATCTGACCCTGCTTCCACTTTGCAAAAGCCTAAAGCAACACAACGCAGGCCTGCGAGCCGGGCCAGGTGGTCTTCGTGGAAAGACCGCTTCTTGTGGCTTTGCCAGGCACGTCAGAGTCAGAAGAGTCTTGCTCATGTCTCGAAAAGAGTTGAAACTCCTGATTGTACTGGCAGCTGTTGCGCCCAAGCTTTGGGAATGTCTTCAGAAGCTTCATGGAGCCATAGCCTCAGCAGTGCAGGTGAACACGATGTTTTTGATGTGTCGTGGGCACAGAGCCTTCCAAAATCTACTTACTACTCCACGGGTTTCAGTTTTAGAGCCCGTCATGCACACATCTACCCAAAAAGGGGACGTCCTGGTGTCAGTGCTGTGAACAGTGTCGATACTTGTTGGACGACTGAACAATCATTGCATGCAGCAGCTTGCAGCGCAGCAGCTACCAAGTAGACCCGTGTGCAGCGCTTTTGGAGCGGCTGCTTTGAATGATAAAAGCACGCTGCGCACACAGATGTGTGACGTGTGAAGGGTGCCGGATGGATACATGACTTTCGTAGATAAGTTGAATTCGGCCTCCGCTTTACACGGACAGCCAACTGTTTTGTGAGTACCTCAGGACGCGACTGGGGAATGCAATTCCAATCGATGCTGGGGATGTAAATGGCTTGTACAGTGTTTGCCGAATTCCTGCAGTCTCAAGCGATCTTCAGATGCTCAGGCTCAGCCGCTAAACCTTGGAACCATCACGTTCCATTTCGCTGCACTGGTTTCAGTGCTAACACTTGTCACCCGCTGAGACCTTTGCTCGCCACAGCTTGCTCTTCCAACATGAGATTCATGTACTCATTCCAAGGATGCGACTGACATCGGCATCATCCGGGACAAATACGTGCCTGACACCGATGAGGACTCTTGCCGGACATCGGACAACGAGGGTGCAAACCGCCGCAGCTGCGGTGGAGATCAAGGGTTATCAGGTGGGCTTCGCAGACCTCAAAGGTATCAGGTCCTCGCACAAGCAGATGCTTTTAAGGGTGTCCCGACGTGTTGCACAAGTTTTGGAAACTACGCCAGGAACCCAATGAGGATGTGACTCGAATCCTGCAAGCACTTCAGGCAGGTGCCTGAGATGAGTTAGAACGCGAGAAGTGCAGCGAGTTGACAAGGCTGCTCCCACGGAATTAGCGTGTTCCCGCCTTGCTTGATCATGATGGATGGCTTTGATGGCTGGGAGTTTGCCAGGAAGGAGCAGATGTCCAAGCTGGATGGCAAGAGCTTTCAAAGGCTTGTGTCAGCTTGGCGCTGCACCCTTGGACAGCGACACTTTGCGTTTTCGAATGCTTGAGTGCGTGGAATGCACAGTTCTGCAACGTCCCAAAACCTGTCATCTCAGGTTACAACTCCTTTGGACATCACAAGGAGGCTTCGCCGCTTCAATTCCGGAAATACATCTGGCATACCCGCGCAATGGACGACTGAGGGTCAGCAGTCAGCCAGAATGAAGGAATCCCTTGGATCAACATGCACATCTGGGGTTTAACATGCACAGCTCGGTCTCCGAGACGCAAACTTCATGGTACTATACTTGTGAATAGTAAAGTAGTAAGTAGTAAATACTAGAATAGTGCAGTACTGAAATAGTAAAATAATGAAATCCTGGCTCAACCGGCGCAACATGAAGATTGCCGGATCGTCGGCACTTCGGTTCGGTGCATCGCACACAGGATGGCTTGGTACTTTACAACCGAATTTCCATGTGCTAGGAACTCAGGCATGCTCAGCTCTACCCAGTCACTCTGGCTGTGCAAACGTCACTGCAGGTGCACATTCTTGTGATCCGACTTGTTGCCATCGCCCGAGATGGTATAGAAGCAGTCGAAGGTGTGCTGGCCACTGCAGTGTCTGAATCTGCGAACACGTGGAAAAGGCTGGTCCTATGGAGACGAAGATGCATTTGTACTTCGCAGCCGGCGCGGCTGGGTTTGCTTCGACACAGAAATGGAAGAGCGCAGATCTTGGCGCAGAATGGCTTTGGACAAGGGCGACGAGCTCACGATCTCCTACCTGCAGGCAACCAGCTTCCCGGAACCCTGTCACGCGGTCTAGAAGTTCTGCCGCTTCGCGAGGATGAGGACCTCCTCAAAAGCACGGCTGTTAGACAGCAGAAGCTCCAGAATTGGCACCTCTCCAGAAAATGTCATGAGACTTCTGCATGCACTCGCCAAACTTGGCTTTCGTTTCTGAGCTGTCATGATGTGCAGGAAGGAGCTTTTCTCAAGCAATCTTTGGGTACATGTTCTGTACTATGGGTCATTTTCTTGTTGGAAAGCTGTCGACGTCTCATTGGAGTCACGCTGCCAGAGAACTCGCAGCCCTCATATCGGCCGGAATCAAACACCCTTGGACAGGAGCATTACCCATTAGTCGACCAACAAGTTTGTCAAGAAAGTCCAAATTGGAATAGCAACAGTAGCATCAGTGGCGTTAGCTGCGGCAACCGGCACCGTCAGAAGTAGTGGCTGAGACCTTGACCTGCTACACTCCATTTACCACCTCAGTCCGACTTTAAAGTGGAGGCCAGTTCATTTGCATTTTCTATCGGGTCGCCCAACAAGCAGCTATCGCAGAAGAACTAAACCGAGCACTGGAACGAACGCAATGAATGCAGAGAAGGTGCATGACCCTTTTTCATTTTCCTTGTGCGGGTGTGTACGGAGTCATCAATGGTGCATTGTGATTATGGCTATTGCACATCAGGGTTGTGTCGCTCATTGCGCACGTTTGAAACATTTCACTCCGCTTCGAAGGTTGTTTAGCTGCACTCGCCTGCAACCCCACATCAACGGTTCCCGCATTCCAGCAAAGCTCGTGCAGACAAGGAAGTTTCTCTGCATGTGTCATGGCCTCAGCTTTGCATGCGTAGCGGCAGAGTCCTTTATGCAGTTAGGCGATGAAAGCAGGATCAGTTTGGCATACGCCGCAGGCCCGCGCTGCTCCCTCAAGACCGACGTGGATCTGACCACCTTGTTGTCTCAATGTCGATCCTGCGAGATCTGCTGTAGCTCTGCTTGGCAGGTTGGCCGTGGCATACGTTGTCAACGTTGCCGAGTTGGGGTCCTGTACCCGCAGGCCAGCCATCTTAGTGTCTCGTTGGTAACTGCAGGTGGTGCGGTCAGTAGAAGGTGCCTTCGTAAAATGCGGGAGCTGCAGAGATCTTCCTTGCATTTGCAAAGTTCCGGCATTGACGTGGTGGGGATGCCTTTGTCAGACGGGCGGCCGTATCAACGCATGCCGCTAGCACCGGCTTCCAGCTCCTAGTGCCGGCGGGGGGTGAGCTCCGCTCGGCGTGTCGCACGCAGTGGCGTGAGCCGGCGGCCTCCAGGTGCAAGCGTCCAGCACGAGCTTCGAGCACTGCAGGGTTTGTGGCAGCTCTCCTCCAGCAGAGGCCGCATGCTTTTGTCGGCTCTGGGGAAAAGCTGTCAAAGTTTGGACCAGGATATCTCCATGCTCCTGCACATGGAAGAAGAGCGTGGCTCTCGGTCTCGCATGGTCTTGCGAGTTTAATGGATCACCACCCCATGAGCATGAGTGAGCTGTCGAAGTCCAGTCAGGACGAGCCACAGCCACATGGGCTGTACACAACATGATAGTCAACAACATGCTCGAATTCGAAGTTTGAGCTTATGGACAAGATTGGAAACCCGTCTGCAGCCACACCCTTCCATCGGATTTTGTGGGGTTGAGGTATGTTCAAAGAGTGGACTGTTTGGACAAGAAAGACCTGGAAGACGTGCAGCAAGTATACCAGGCATGCTGGAGCCGGCCTGAGCGAACGAATATGAAGTCACAGCATTGAAAGGCTGCTCTCGACATCTTTGAGAACCATTGGATTCTCTATGACTGGACCTCAACTGCATGATTGACAGTTCTGAGCGGCGTGAGCCTCCGATCATTCCAATGATCTGCGCAGGTGATGGATACCATCCTTTGGGAAGGCCACCGCCAAAAGAATGTCATGGATGCCATGGAGCATCAGTTGGGCTCTTGGTCCCTCTCAATTTTTCCTTTCTTTATCTATCGGCAATTGAGGCGCCGCCGGATTGACTTCCACCAGCACTACTACTTCAGGCGTGAGAAACATCAGGCGTGAGACTGCTTCCTGCTTCGCTTCGGATTCGGAAGGCCGACCTTCATCCTGGCATGGTGCCATGAGGTCGCGCTTCGCTCAATGCCTTCAGTCTCTCGTTTGTCGTGCCTTTGTCGGCCGCAGGAGCTGGGTGATTGCATGATGGCGCAGTTCCCGACACGAAAATGGCACATCACGCAGGAGCTCCTGAAACCTCAAGCATAAAGGGCCCACAGGGCCACACACATCATCAGCGAAGTCCCTGTCGTCCCTGGCGCCCGTGTCGTCCCCGGCGTCCCGTCCCTGCGTCCTTGGTGTCCGCGACGTCGTGGCATGGTCATATATACATATATATGCTTCCCCCCCGAAGATCCGCGCTTTTTGGCGTTATTCGGAAAGAACCCCCCCAATAGGATCCAAATAATCGGAAAGAGCACTTCCATTCCACAGCATTGCCTGAAAGCCCTCTGTTCCCACATCACCTACAATTAGGGCCCCAAAGAAGCACATAAGCAAAAATTAGGATAGGGATATCCCATATAAAGCCCCTTATAATGAAGGCCAATAAGGTACGGATATCCCTCTAAAATGCTTATGCTTATGTGCTTTTTGGGGTCCTTAACAATACCATGTATATGCAATATGTGTGAACCATCATGTATGTCTCTATGCATATGGTACACGGGTCATGGTCGCAAAGCATAAACATACAGAGGGAGGAATATACGAATACAATCAAGCACAACTACACCTCTGAAACGAAAAAGACAGTGTCTTGACATCGGGTGATCGGGGATGGAGACAAACGATGGCACCATGATCGTGACGGAGATGACGATGCCGCAAAGACGATGATTATGATGGTGTTGAGGACGACGATGTCGATGGTGATGTCGGTCATGAGGATGACAGTGAGTTTTAAGGGCGCGTACCACAGACCCATGTCAGTCATTGTGGCATGTGGATGAAGTCCGGTGGTTCTCTGAGACTCCATGCGTGAGGACTTGGTCTCGACATGTTGCTCTCCTCACCTGAGGTTCGGTAGCCGATGAGGTTGTTGGCTCACCCTCAACCGAGCTTCTGTACGGAGTAGGCAATGTGGCTTGCAATCGCCATACCGTAGTGCATGCAGAACACGACTGCGCGGCTATTCAATGTGTGTTCGCAATGCGTCTGCGCCACCCAATGCGTCTTCACAATGCGTCTACCCAGTGCGTCTTCACCATGCGTCTGCGCCTGCCAATGCGTCTGCGCCTTCACCCAATGCGTCTTCAGAATTCGTTTGCGCCTGCCAATGCCTCTGCGCCTATTAGGCTTTTGTTTGACGAATGCGTCTTGGCAATGCGGATGCGTCTTCAGGTCGTTTGCCACACTCCCCCAAGACGCGAAGCAAAGACAAAGCAAAGCTTCGGCAGATCCGTTTACACGCCACATACCCATGCAGTATATAAGTATATACTTCGACCTTAAGAGACCAATACAGAGGCTATTCTAAGGCCAAAGTAGACACCATGCGGACACTTGGAGCTTTAGGGATTGTTGTAATGCACCAGAGGAGATGCTGTTTTTGTCGGCAGCAGTCAGCATGCGTCTCGAGCATTGTGGCTGTGAAAACGCCGTCATTGATCAAAATCGCGACTAAGCCATCTAGCATCGGCTTCGACAAAAACGTGGCTATGCGGTCTTACTGCTCGACCTACTGCAGGATCTTCCCCATGTACCACGTCAGCAGATCACCCGTGCACGTCCAGAGGTCCTGGCCACGGTGCCAGTAGTCGTACTGAGCGGATCTGATGCATGCCTGCATGTATGCCGAGCCCGTCTGGACATGTTGGTTCAACCTCAAACGGCTCTTGATGAACTTCCAAGAGCGGTCGACGATCTGTGTGCCAACCTTGACAGTCAGCTTTCGCCGGGTGGGAAGGGTGATTTTCTTGAGCTTGACGTATGTCGGCTGCTGCCACGTCCACATGCCACCGACCTTAACCCGCTTCTTCTGGTGGACGACTGACCCATGGTGTACTCCACGAACCTTTTGCTTGTATGGTTTCGCACTGTCTCTGTGTAGAATGATTTGCTTGTCCTTGAGCCATTTGTCTGCGATGTTGCGCCATTCATCCTTCCGAATAGGACCCGGCCCCGGCGATCTCTTCTTGGTTAGCCTTAGATTCAGTTACCCCTGAACAAGCTCGCTACAGTTTGTAACATCAGAACTGCTGCCAAGAAGCTTCGGAAAGAGACGAAGAAGAACGAGTGAGGTCGGCTTGCCTCGCTGCACCATTCCGACCCACTGCTCCCCTTCATGTGCCGTTCTGGTACTTCAATTTCATCTACGGGAACGAGCTTCTTGTCGAAAGAGGTTTCGTCCACTTCCACATCCTGCCAAGCGTTCTTCCTACCACCAAACACCATACCGGCTTGGACATGCTCCACATAAGCTTTGCGAACAAAGGCCAAGCTCTTGCGCAGACGCTCCACGACTTTGTGGTTGGCTTGGGTTACGAGGTGGATACTACTGGATGGCATGCCAGCAATAAGTAGAAGCAGCAGACCCGCCTGAGGCCCAGCGTCCGTCCTTCTGGTCCCCGGGTTGCTGAGATCAAAGGGTGCAAGGGGTGCGGCGTGATAGATTTGTGGCAATTCCGCCATCGGCAACGGTAGCGTGGAAGCCCCGAGTCTCTATCCTGCAATGGGCCCACGATACCTTGCGTGCAGAATGGACAGCTGGCTCCTTCCCAACTCGGCAAGAGGCCGTCCCGCATGAGAAGCTCGATGGCCTCCTTCTTCGTGAAGCTTGCCAGCTCTGCAAAAGTCCGCTTCCATTTAAGCCGGTCAAATCGACGGGCCTTGTCGCCGTCCCGAACATAGGGAGTCGATGCCCATGCCTTCCTTTCAGTTAGCTTGGACGCTGGGCCATGCGCATCTTGCCCTTTTTGGGGCATGGAAAATTGCGCACAGGCTTCTTCTCCAACGTCTTGGCCATGGCATGCCCGCGGCTGACAGAGTCGTTCCGGGCAGCTAGTGTGCGAGCCCTGATGCACATCATCTTGGTTACAAACTTTGAAGCTGTAGCATGTCTGCAGAAGGCACTGGCCATTTTGGTTGCGACGGTGTGTCTTTGCACGGTGCACAGGCGCCACTAGTGTCAGGGAGTGTCATGCCAAGACCGAAGATAAAGCAAAACTGTCGGTCCTGAACTCTGAACTGCTGCAGAGCAGGCAATCCCTACTCGTGCAAAAAGCGGGCCACCTCCTCATCGAGAACGGTCTCCCCGTCATCAACGTCCATCTCATCGCCGATCGAGTTAGCATAGTTGGCGTCATTCTCCTCATGCTGCTGCTCCGCCTCCGGCACAGGCGCCGCGGACGAGGGCTCTTCACTGATCGACTCTTCCTCTGCAAGTTCCTGCTCCACTGGGTCCACGGTGGTTTTCTCTTTGAGACGTCTCTTGGGTGTGCCAGCAAAGTAAAACTTTGTCGCACTTGTGATACGCTTCCGTGGCACGTCATGACCTGCGAGACGAACTGGGTCAGGAAGACAGGCTTGGACGTCCTGGGACGAGTCAGAGGAAGAGGACGGGAGGCGTCTGACCTGCGTGACGTTTATTTGAGTTTGACTGTCACAGAACTTGATGAAACTGGAAAGAGAGTCGTGCGCCTCCATGCTGGCAATGGATTCATCGATCATGCTCTGCTCACTCTTGTACATCGGAAGCAAATTGGGCCCCATGGTCTTGGAGCCTCTCTTATAGGCTCCGTAGATGGGCTTGTCGTGTGGGGCCAAGAGGTCCTTGTGGATATCGTCCTTGACGATCCTGTGGATCTCACTGGGGAACCTCAAGTACAAAGCATGCTTCCCGAAGATCATCACAACTGACCGTTTTAAGCAGGCCATCACATCTGCTCCCTTCTCTCCCAGGAAAGTGTGTCTCATGAGCTTGAGGAAATCGTCGAGCGAGATCAGGGTGTCCTGACATGACGCAGGTTCGTCAGCCACAGAAAGATGGTTGCCATCGTAAGCTCTCATTTGATTCCTCAGAAGCTTGACATCATTGTACCTGCCGGAACAAGTTTGGTTCTCTTCGGCACACATGAACGACTTGATGTCGGCGAGGTCAATGTTTTCGCGGGTCGGGTCGTCCAGAAAGATAGCACCTCCAATCTCGGGAACACGCTGACGAAAATTGTCGAGCGACTTTGCTCGCCGCCATGAGGGGTCCTTGACGAGTCCGGCCTTGCGGATGTTGTACCTTCCCATGGCAAGGGCTATGACGATGATTGCCGGTGTCTGTCCAACGCCGGGCCACCCGGTTGCCATGAATCCAAAGGACAGCAACAGAGGATAAATCAAGGGGAGCAATCTCCGCGACGAAGGGCTTCCGGCTGTACTTCTGTACTGTAGTGGCAATGGTACTGCGGGGTGGCGCCGGTCAGGCCACGGGCTTTGTTCTGACGCATCATCCTGACGTGCGACTCCGGCCAGCCTGCAATCGAGGGTCTGCTCATTCATGGCATCACACTCGGGCGCGTGCTCGTTGATGAAGGCCACGCCCGAATTAAGCTCGTCATCCTCTGGTGCCCATTGAGAAGTGTTTGATCGCTGCAGCGAGCTCCCGGTCTTCTTCTGGGTGACAGAATGCCAGAACACAAATTGACCCTGAATTCTATCAAGAAGGTTTTGCACAGCCTTCCGTACTGCCCATGGACCGGATCTGAAGGCGGCCACATAGGCTTCACCTGTGCAACACTTGCTGGCCGCATTCGTCGCAACCTTATCAGCAAAGCGAACAATCTTCATCACATTCATTGTTCCATCCTCTAAGTTCTTGATGACGACGCCCGTAGAGGAATTGGCGGGCAGCTTATTTTCAGGAGACATGCATGGATGGAGGAGCACGTCGAAGCGTTGCTGCCAGAGCTTCTCGGGCATGTCCCGCAACCCACCGAACTCAGGGACTTTGGATTGAAAGTCGAAGATGGGGGTTGGGGTTTTCACCTGCTCGGGCTTGCAGCACACATCCGACAAGAAGTCCTCGATCGTAATTGAGTTCTCAACGTCGGCTGCGCGGAGATGACCAGACCTAGGGCGGGTGAGGGCCTCATAGCTCCATTCCTTGCCGCCGACCTCGTTGATTAAGAGGTTGGTCGCCATGTGGATGACGAGAGGAGGATGCGATTGCAAGTGCGCTGGGACGATCAGTTGTTGCTGGTTTTCGAGCCGAGCGGACGTGTCGTGGTGGCCTTGCTTTGAGGACCAGATACGAAAGGCAAACACCTGTGGAGGGCATCTGATGCAAGATGCGACATGGGGACACGACGACGATGCAGACTTCCTTGACAACGCAGGCGAACGTCATGATCATTATGGCCAGTGGTGACAGATCACCGTATCAGCTACAGCACGCTGCTTTAGAATGTCAAAGACAAAGACAAGCCTGTGTGTGCGAACCGGCTTTTTTCAACCTTGCAAGCGTACGTCCTACCACTTTGCAAAAGTGTGTGTTTAGCCTCCAGCCAAACACAAAGTGTACAAGACACAGACGGATTAACCGTGTCGCACTCAATCTTGGAATCTTTGAAGAGCCGTCAACACTTTATATGCAAGACGGCGCCTCTTCTTGTTGTGCAAGCCTTCATCGAGCACAAGTTTCACGCTTTCCCACGCATCGTGCGGTGCCAGCCGGTTGTTGATGTTGATGTGTCCTCTTGCCTGATAAGCTGCTTCTTCCGCTCAACGGAAGTCTCACTGGAGCTGCCGTCACCGGAATCGGACTCGTCACTGTCGTCATCCTCGTTTTGGTTTTGCTCCACCGCCTTGTCATCGTCGTTGTGGTTCTGCTCCGCCGTGTTACCGGGATCCATGACCTGACTTTGATTGCTCACCTCATTCGCGTCCTCGATGGCGAGCGGGGCATCCAAGATAGCCTGGGGGATCGTCTTGGCGATGCGCTTGCGCTTGGCGAGCTGCTTGAGGAAAAGATTGTTGGCCTCCGAAGACCCCTCGCCGTTCTTCCCGAGCGTCAGCTTGAGGGCCCTTTGCACGTTATTGAACATCGTGCCCAAGTTTTTGGCGGTTATAGGCAGCCGCGAAGAATGAGCCTGAACTTCATTCTTGCCGATTGCGTTCATCATGGCCGTGTCGTCGCGCACGATTCCCCATGGTGGAGCCGCGGTGGCTGCATCTGCAGTCGTCGAAGCCGATGGTAGGCGCCAGGAGTCAGGCGTAGAAAGGCCTCGCCGTCACGAAACATCACCATCCCGGAAACTGCGCTGCTCCAGTCGCTCATGGCGATCACAGACCAGGCTAGCCAAGACTTGGGGACGTAGGCTTAAGCATCAGGCGCTGCGGATCGGCTCACAGTGCAATCATACACACTGGCGTGCAGCAAACGGCGCAGGATTGAAACTGGATTGAAGGATTGAATTTCAATCCGAAGCCTGATCCAAGATCCAAGGTTCTCCCGAGAGTCTTTGGGCAGAAGTACCTCGTGACGAGGAACGAGTTACGACTATGTGTGCTAGCTTACCTATTACTACTCGAAGCTATCGAAGGTAGCTTCGCTAGAAACGAAGTTTCGTTCGCTATCGTCGCTCGCAGGAGAGTTGCCTCTGACATGCGAAGACAGGATAGCAGTGACTTGGAATGGCTACGACGGTGTGTGACCGTGGCCATTCTGGCTCAAGTCCCCCATCAGGGGGGGTAATTTTGAAGTAGAGGGGGATAGAAGGGGAACTTGGCTATCTAGCCAAGCGAGAATGGCCTCCCCGCGCACCCCTTCTGCTTCGCGGACGGCTAGCCCACAGTCTCCGGCTACTACGGTGATTCCGGCTAGTCCTGGGGGCGAGGAGCCAGGGAGTCCAACCGTCTTGCCCACGGCTGAGCCGGAAGAGCAGGACGTCGGGCCGGCTACTCCCTCCGGAGGGATAGGGACCCCCATCGGTCTTCCGTCCTTGTTGGATAGCGCTCTTGTGCAGAAGCGTGCGGTGCTGGATAGATGCCATGAGCATCTGGCGTCGCGGGGCTTCGGTGTGCTTGAGCTGGCTACCCTCGGTCTAGAGGACGCGGAAGATATTGGGCACCAGGTGGCTGAGGAGCTGGGCGTTGGCTACGACGAGTACATCGGCGACTCGATCTACCTGTGGATACAAGAGGCCCAGGAAGCTAGAGACCTGGTGGAGAGATCGTCGGGATACAGAGCAACTTCGCTAGCTTGGGCTAACCTCAGCAAGCGGCCGGCGATCGAAGGCATCGACCTTCAGGAAGATAGCGAGCCGGAGCCCCCGAAAGGGGATAGGCAGAAGCGCTTGGTCAACGAGGGCTCCCTGGCGCAGGCTAGGGAGGAAAGGCTACAAGCAACCTGGGCTATCAAGCTCAAGGAAGAGCTAGAATTGTGCGAGGCGCCGGTGCTGAAGAAGCTACAGGGGTGCCTGGACCCGGATAGAGCGGTGTTGGCGCTAGCGGGGAAAACCCGGGCTAGCACTCTCAAGCGCTACGTCTCGATACACGTGAGATGGCGGCTATGGCTACGGGAGGCTAAGAGTGGACGCCCCCCTGGGCTACCGGCCGACCTGGCCGACTACATCATGGCTAGGGGCGACGAGCCCTGCGGGCGAACAGTTCTCGAGGCGATCCTCAAGGCATAGCGTGGGCGATCAAGGATACGGTCGTCGAGAGGCTATCCTGGAAGGCGCCCTGGACGCGGCGGGCCCCCCGATATCCTGCGGCTATCCTGGCTAGGTGGGAGCGCCTGGTCCTGGATACAACTGTGGCCGTCGGCTGGAGAGCTTGGGCCTGGGCTAAGCTCCTAAAGGTTTGGGGCAGCTTGCGATGGTCGGACCTCCAGGCTATGGTCCCAAACGAACTGGCTATGGTGGAAGGTCGGCTATCCACCATCCTGCGGCGGACCAAAACCACCGGGGCTAACAGGCGCATACGAGAGCTACCCGTATGCATCTCGGAGAGAGCCTACTTCGAGCACCCTGGCTGGCTACAGGCGGGCTTCGACCTGCTAAAGAACCACGCGGGCTGCCAGCGGGACTATCTCATGCCGAGGCTAGGCGAGAGAGGCGCCCTGGAGAAGAAGATGGCTACCTACGCAGATGCGATGGTGGCTACAGCGGGGCTGCTGGCAATGGTGGGGATCCCGACGATTGCCCGAGGCTACTGGTCGGAGCACAGTGAGAGAGCAGTGCTACCCACCGGGCTGAGCCTAAAGCCGATCCCGCCGGCAGATAGAGATATGCCCGAGGGCTCGGACACCTACATCCGCTCCTATGGCGGAAGGGTCGCCCGACTCCAGGCTATCTACGCAGAGGCGGCTAGGGCTCGGGACCGAGAACAGCAGCTAGACGAGAGGGAGATAGCCGGCGATCTTGGTGGCTGGCTTTTCCGGACTGGCAAGGCTAGCGAGCAGGGAGCTGAGAAGCTATCGGGAGAGCTGCGACGAGAGTGGGCTAGCGAGCGCATCGTGGAGATGGTGGCTGGTACGGGGATTCCTCCCGAAGATAGACCCGACTCCTCGGCTAGTGAGCCGGAGCTGGGACCGGAACCCAACCGGAACCGGCCGAGGCAGCTCCTTAAGAAGGCTAGGTGCACGAGCTATATCATAGTCGAGCTTCCAGGGAAGAAGTACAGGCTACACAAGGGGGGCCAGGCCGGGTGCTGGATGGGCCGCCGTAGGATATTTAAGAACTCCCAAGAGTTTTCGGCGAGGCCCGAACCCAACCAGTACACGCATGTCTGTAGGCTATGCTGGCCGAAAGGCCGAGGCGAAGAGTCCCCGTCTGGTGATAGCGACACCTCTCAGGCTAGCACCGGCGACCAGAAGCCGGAGCAGGGAGAGGAAGAAGATTTCGGAGAGGTCCCAGCAGCAGAGCTGCAGGGAGTACCTCCTCCGTTGCCGGCTATTCCGTTAGGCTGGGGACCGCCTTTTGCCTGAAGGGATAGAAACGCCGGGAGAGCAGCAGGGCTGGACAACGGGGGGATACGTCCGGGGGGGCCTCTCGGGATATACTCTTTCCTTCCCATCTCTCCGGGGGCGGCGGGCCCAGGGGGAGAAAGAAGGGGAGAGAAGAGAGGAGAGAGAGAGGAGAGAATCACGTTGTTGCACTTGCTGTCTTGTCTGCTGGCTAGGACGTAGGCCGCGAGGTTCTTAGGCAGGCTAAGCTGCATGCGCACATGTCCGGCTGAGTTTGCACTTGTGGGCTAGGGCACGGCACAAATGCACTTGCCGCGGCTACTCCACCAGCTTTTCTGGAGAGCCCACGCTAGGTGGGCGAGCCTGCGTGCCTTCGGGCCGGCTAGCGGCACATGGCTACTGCCCCCTGCTGGGCAGACCAGACTGAGTCGGCTAGCGTCCAGGCGCAACGGATAGAAGTGCTACGCCTCCTAGAGGACTGGCTAGAGACTGACCCGGCGAGCTTGGCCGAACAGATATACGATCGGCTAAGTTTGGATAAGCAGCACGAGCTTCTCCAGCTAGTGCGAAAGGCTAGGGACATGAGGCTAGCCGAGTGCCAGGAGGGGGCTAGCATACAGCCTGGCGGCCGGCTATCTGCCAGGCTACTCAAGTTCCAAGGGGCTAGGTCTTGGGACGATATCTCTGCGGAGCTCGAGGCTAGCCTGTCCACCACCGAGGCTAGATATCTTGAGCAGAGGATAGAGAAGAACCGGCAGCTGGCCGGGCTACGACCGCACCGACCAGGAGAGACCCTGGAGGAGGATAGCGTCACGGATAACGAGCTGGAGGCTACACCGTGGCAGGGGGAGGCCCCCCCGAACGGCTAGACATGCTACACGAGATGATGGCTAAGCTCAAGGAGCTAGAGGCGGAGGTCCGCGGCACGGCTACCCCTGTTGCTAGGCAAGAGGAGCCCCAGCCTGGGGCAGAGGAGGCCAGCACAGAGGATAGCACAGCGGCGAGGCCCAAGAAGCCGGCTAGGGACCTGCCGACGGTCCAAGAGTCCAAGGCTAAGAACAAGCTGTGGCAGGGGAGTGCAGCGGATAAAGAAGAAACGGCTACCACCCTGCCGTTCTCGGCTGGGCTAGACCCGGCCCAGGTCGTCAACCCGGGTCCGGGGCTACAGCAGGCTAGGGCAGCCGCGGCAGAGACCACGGCTACACCGCTAAGGGCGAGTACAGAGTACCCTGCCCAGGGCGAGAGCCTGAAGCAGTTCTTGGCTAGATGCATGCAGGGCTACCGTGGCCCGCCGGCGGACGTCCCGGCCTATGTGGCTAGGATGGAGGAGGTCTTCCGGATAGGCACCTTCCAGGATGGTCCGGATAGCAACCAGGATACACAGCAGCAGCGGCGGCCACGCAAGGGCGAGCCGGGATACGATCCCTTCCCGCCCTTGAGGCCGCAGGCTAAGAGCACCACCAAAGGACGCGGTGGGGATAGCGACCGTGGCTACATCCACCCGGATAGCAGCCACCCGCTGGACAGAAGGCTAGGAGCGGGCCGATACAACGAGGCCCAGTGGGAGGCTATGGCCGGTGACGGCCGGATAGCTCCGGAGAGGCCCGCGCTCCAGCAGGGAGCGGCGGTGAACATCAACCTGGATAGGCCCACCGAACGGCTACTTCGCGAAGAACCCGATGTGGTGCACCGGATAATGGCGCCCCCGCCGGTGGCTAGTCAAGCCAAGGGGCGACCACTCGGCCCGGATAGCGGCATGATCGATCAGACCTGGCTATATGTGGCTAGGGCCCAGTGGCCCCTGGGGAGCTACGAGAAGGGCGGTCGCCAGGATAGAAGGCTATCGCAGTTGTCGGATAGAGGCCGCGATGTCAGCGGCAAGGGGGCGATACACGACCCCAACTGGATATACAAGCTAGAGGATGAGGACTTCATCGCGGTTAGCACCCGGTCGCAAAAGGCTACGCAAAAGAGCTAACAGACAGCGATCCCGGATACAGCTATGGTGGCCCGGCTAAGGGAGCTGGCAGGGGCCGAAAGGGTCCGGGCTAAAGCACGGTCGTATGGCTAGATCTCCCAGACTTGCGGCTAGTGACGAAAATAGCGGATAGTGTGTGGACCTCGCGCTTTCACTTCATGTCGGCTAGTGCTTCCGTTTGCCAGAAAGAAGAGAGTGCCAGGCTAGGTTTTCCCAGGATACGTGAAACCTCGGACGGGGGGGGGGGGGGGGGGGGGGGGGGGGGGGCCCGGGGTCTCGGGTTGATACTCCTTCCTTCCCATCTCTCCGGCTAGGGGGGGGAAAGCCCTGCTGAACGGCCACATGGCTAGAGCTTTTGATTTCAAGAACGACAGTAGCCGAAAGGTAGCTA